TCCTACACTCCAGGGGAAAAAGTCCCAGCTTATCCAACCTCTCCTCATAATTCAAACACCTCTCCAAACACCTTTCAATAACAGAACCAATTGTGAGTAAATGATAGTCACGTCCAGTTACAAAGCGTTATGTGGAAGGTTCAGCCTGTTCAGTCCATCTCCTCTATGCTGGCCCTAGCTCTGCCCTTTCTCAATGAACCTCAATAACAAATCCTTCCATTCCCACCTCCTGTGTGGAAAATCAAAGTTGCCTTTTGAATGGATTACCAGGAATCTCCACAAGTCCTGCATGCTGCAGTGAATCCCACATTCTCAATCCTATCCTTGTAAAGTCATTTCTCCAGGATAACCATTGGAGCTATTAATGATGATCTTATATTTTCAGCTCCTGGTTTTAGTATTCTCCCCCCTCACCCATTGCACCTTCCAATGCACCACTGGAAGTATCTCACTCACTCACACATGCATGCATACACCTCCCAGTCATAGAGATGTACAGCACAGAAACAGACCCTTCGGCCCAACTCGTCCATGCTGACCATATATCCTAAATAAATCTAGTCCCATTTGCCAGCATTTAGCCCACATTCCTCTGAACCCTTCCTGTTCATTTGGCTAGTTCTGGTGAAATACCTTTAGGTTAACACTCCATCACCCTTGCAGTGAAGACAAATGTTATGTTATGTTTATGTTAATCATAAATAGCAAACAGACCCACAACATATTATTTAGACGGACGGAACATTGTCATATATTGCAAAGGGAATGGAATATGAGCGTAGGGGTGTGTTTGTACAGGGCATTGGTGGGACCACATTCAGTGCAGTGCACAGCTTTGGGTCTCCCTGAATCAGAGCTCCAATTGGAAGGTAATCATTCCAGCAATACAGCCTGAAGGATGCACTGAGGCATCCCTTAGATGTCCCAGCACACTATCAGCAGGAATTGGTAGATAGGGCGGTTAAACAGATGTTTGGCACACTTGCCTTCGTTGCTCAGTCCTTTGAGATTAGGAGTTGGGACATCATATTGAGGTTGTACAGGACATTGGTGAGGCCTTTTCTGGAGCTCTATGTCCAGTTCTGGTCGCCCAGTTATAGAAAGGATATTACTAAGTTGGGGACAGTTCAGATGGGATTTACCAGGATATTGCCAGGAACGTAGGGTTTGAGTTGTAAGGAGAGGCCGGATAGGCTGGGACCTTTTTCATTGGAGCATAGGAGGTTGAGAGGTGACCTTATAGAGGTTTATAAAATCATGAGGACGACAGACAAAGAGAATGGCAGGTATTTTTTCCCCTAGGGTGGGGGATTTCAATACTAGGAGACATATTTTTAAGGTGAGAGGAGACAGATTTAAAAAAGACAGGGGCGACTTGTTTTACAGACAGAGTGGTTCATGTGTGGAATGAACTTCCTGAGGAAGTGGTGGGTGTGGGGGCAGTTACAACGTTTAAAAGGCATCTGGATGAGTACATGAACAAGAAATGTTCACCTGCCAAGCATAGGCAGGTGGGATTAGTTTAGTTTGGGATTATGGTCAGCATGGACTGGGTGGGACCAAAGGGTCTGTTTCCGCGCTGTATGGCTCGATGACTCTACAACGAGGGTGTCAACGAATACAGTCCAATTGGATCACACATCATTGTATTGGATGGGATAGCTGGTCTGAGGGGCCCAACCCTGCTCCAAACTCATTCAAAGCTCTTTTCCCCCATCAGAAGTTTGAAATATTCAACATTTCCATTCCTCTGACCCAGCCTTACATTTTTCCACACTTCACTCTACCTATCAAATCTTTGCACACCTTATCTAGCTCACTTCATAGATGTTCAATCCGAGTTGCCTTCCTATCTATTTCTGTAACATCAGCAAATTTATTTCTAATACGTTCAGCATCATCACCCAAGTCAATAAATGCACAGGCAACAGAATAAATCCCCCAACTTCCCTGAAAGTTCTTCTTGAGGTTTGCTGGAGGGATCCTGCTTCAACCTCGGAAATGCTTTTTAAAATTTGCTTGTGGGATATGGGCATCGCTGATGAGGCCAGCCTATTGACCATCCTTAATTGCCCTCAAGAGAGGAATAATATTGCCTTAACCAGTAAAATGGAAAACCTGCTGGCTGTTAGGTAGATACGGAGTCATAGGGAATCAGAGAGTTGTACAGCACAGAAACAGACCCTTCGGTCCAACTTGTCCACGCCGACCAGATATCCTAAATAAATCTAGTCCCATTTGCCAGCATTTGGCCCTTATCCCTCTAAACCCTTCCTATTCATGTACCCATCCAGATGCCTTTTAAATCTTGTAATTGTACCAGCCTCCACCACTTCCTCTGGCAGCTCATTCCATACACGCACCACCCTCTGTGTGAAAATGTTGCCCCTCAGGTCCCCTTTATATCTTTACTCTCTTACCGTAAACTAATGCCCTCTAGTTTTGGACTCCCCTTACCTTGGGGGAAAAGACCTTGACTGTTCACACTATCCACGCCCCTTATGATTTTATAAACATCTATAAAGTCACCTTCTGAGCCTCCGACGCTCTGGGGAAAATAGCCCCAGTCTATTCAGCCTCTCCCTACAGATCAAACCCTCCAAATCTGGCCACACCCTCGTAATTCTTTTCTCTACCCTTTCCAGTTCACAACATCTTTCCTACAGCAGGGAGACCAGAACTGCACACAGTATTCCAAAAGTGGCCTAAACAATATGATAAACTAAAGTGAATATGATTGTTTCAGAGGGCGCAGAGACAGAGGGTTCAAAGTTGTACATCACTCTAAATGACTTTTAAAGAAAAGGATGGTGTGCCATCAGTTTTCACGACCAGCAGATGATCACAAGTTGAACATTCTTCATTGAATTTTATAATGATAGCATTAATGTGAAGTGCAGAATTAAAGTGGTGGCACAAAATCAAGGACTGAGCAAACACAAATATCACTTTGAGATTCCACTGTCATGGGTATAAGTGGGCCTAGATTACTATTCACCATGCATATATTATTTTCCACATGCCTTTCACTTAGTCAATGCCGTTGGAGACAAATTATGCTTGTTTTTAAATACAATCACCAAGTTAATGAGAAGGCCAGCTTTAATACAATGCCTTCTGGAATTTCTGCAGCTTGTGGGGCGTAGGTACATCCACATAACTGTCAGAGAGCCAATTCCGAGATTCTGATCAGTGACAGTGAAGGAACAGCGATATATTGGATGATTCAGTCGTGTAGTAGCTACTATTAAATGATGCAGTCGTGTAGAAGTGATGCAGTCACCTTTCATCAATATCCCCAACAATCATCCATCCATTAAATGTAGAGCCACACAAGAAAAGTATTTCTATGACATCTATTATTTAAGATAACAGGTATAACTGAGCATAAACAAAAAACACAAGTTGTTGGAAATGCTCAGCAGGTCTGGCAGCATCTGTGAAGAAAAAAATCAGAGTTAATGTTTCAGGTCTGGTGACC